TTTTTTCACCAAGTTATTTTGTGTAAACTCAGTGTTTGTTGGTTTGGACATTTATGTTGGTTCTATGTCAATTTAAGAATTCCTTTTAGAACTTCTTGGTCAAATCTACAAAACATGTTTCTTCTTTCTTTTTGTCCTACTAAAGAAGGCAATGAATTCAATTTTGATGTGGCAATGCAATTGGTGGAACATTTTACATCAAATTTGAACTAACAAGCTTTTATTTCTGGCCATTGTTGACCCTTAAAATGACTTGCAATGCCTGTCAATTGTGTTTGCTGACTGTTGCAGTATGACTCAAGTGGTCGTTTACTATTATAAAAGTGGGTTGACTGTTTATTAACATAAGCCAAACATAGGCTTAGTTTAAAAAAGTAAAGGTTTCACAATACCTGAGCCTAAGGTATATCTATTGGTTGTCACTGTAATGTCCCGGGCCTGTGGCCAAGCCATAGTCTCACATACTGTACACTTTGGGAGAGTGAAGCTAACAGTACATAAGAGTATGGCTTGGGCACAAGCTCGGGTTGTTACCATCAATAAGTAAAATAATTTCATAGATAATTATGTTTGCGCAACATAATTAACAGTTGACATATTGATTCTTTTATTTATAACCATGTGTGTTTTTGCTTCAAAATTCCTGTCCATCTTTCAGAAGCCAAATCCTAATGAAATCACCTACATACTTGTGTGCTAATTTCTCTCCCATAAGATTTCTATTATTAGGAAAGAGAATGAAAAGAAATTTCTGGCATTCATGTCTTGTGATTTTCTTTGTATTATATAATTCATCATTCCATTAGCTTTGCCAATCAAACATCTAATTTCCTATGTTGCTTCCTTACATTACAATATGTAATATTTAGACGATAATTTATTTACTCTGCTTTCTAAACCACCTGTTTCACGGTCCATTTCTTTGTCTCATGCTTATGACAATCCTTTGGTTTTGTATATTATGCTTGTTCAATTGATTAATGTTATCTTTCCTCCTATGTGTTCTCTATATATAATATATTGCTTTCAGAAAGTACAAGTTACCCATGTCACATATCATACAATTTCCTAAGCGGTCTGATCTCACCAATGGTCAAGATTTTCCTCCGGGAAGTCATGTTTTGGCAGTCTATCCTGAAACCACTGCACTATTTAAGGCAACTGTAGTCCAAACTCGAAAGGTAT